GGGGGTCGGACTAGATGATCTGCTCAGGTCCCTTCCGACCCTAGAAACTATGAAACTATGAAAAAGGAGACTGCCATACTTCTTCCATGGATATAACCATCATTAAAAACCAACATTAAAATAAATATATAGCAATATATTAACTGTAGTACATGCTGTAGGATTTAGATTATCTGCTGGAATACCAACTTTTTCCCCCCAAACCTTCACTATTTAGCTAATTGTAAAAATCAACATTTAAATCAAAGGTAGAGCAAAGTGTTGTGAAGCTGTCCATGCTACAAGTGTGCATCAAATCAGGATAACATGGTGTTCCTAAATGTAGATTATTATAAAAAAGGTTTTAATAGAAATAAAATAAGAAAATGGAATTAGAATATGGATTTAGTATTCTAAATGTTTTTCAAAGCAGCAATTCTGCCATAGGAAATGTAACGTCAACTGTCATTCGATAGGAAATACAATTTACATTCCTATATTACCCTCCACTCAAAACAGAACCCATCCGTAACACTGACCTAGGGTATAACTTCCCCTAAGGTTTCTAGTAGAATCCTGTATGAAAGAGCTACTAAGTGCTGTGGTAGAGTGTTATATAAGGACTGAAAAGTATTTTAGTACCGTATAAAATTAGGGTACAATACCTGTCCAAAGTTAATGTCACAGTTTCATTCATTTCTGGGATATCATCTGCTTTGACAGTAATGTTGATTGTAGTATCACTTTGTCCGGATAAAAAGACAACAGAGCCATTAAAAGGACCTATATCATCATGTGTTACTGCTCTTGGATTGAGGCCAGAAGGTCTTAGACTCCAAAACACAGTTGCCTGACCATCAGTCCCATCTCGATGCAAAGCAATGGAGACCTAGAAAACATTTACCAGCCTGAGACTTGCAAAATATTATCTGGACATGAGTACTGTGAAATGGAAGGCTTGATTCTCCTTTCACTTGCATCACTGCGTATCAGAAATAACACCAATGAAACCAAAGGAGTTCATAGAATCAGAAAATTAAGGTTGGAAGGGACTTCAAGAGGTCATCTATTCTAAACCCCTGCTCAAAGCAGAACCATCCCCAGCTAGATCATTCCAGCCAGGGCTTTATCAAGCTGGGCCTTAAAACCCTCCAAGGATGTAAATTCCACCACCTCTCTAGGTAACTTGTTCCAGTGCTTCACCACCCTCCCAATAAGAAAGTTTTTCCTAACATTCAACTTAAACCACCCTTTGCTGCAACTTGAGACTGTTGCTCCTTGTTCTGTTATCTGTCATCACTGAGAACAGTCTAGCTCCATCCCCTTTGGAGACCCCCTTCAGGTAGTTAAAGGCTCTTATCAAATCCCTCCTCAGTCTTCTCTTCCAGACTAAATAAACCCAGTTCCCTCAGCCTCTCCTCACAAGTCACGTGCCCCAGCCCCCAAACTATTTTCATTGCTCTCTGCTGTACTCTTTCCAACTCAGAGTTGACATGTGGGGGGGGGGCATGTGCCCCGCCCCAATACTGGCCCTTGCCAGCTGGTGGAGTACCAGCCCGTGCCCACCCTGAGAAGCGCCGGTGACACTTCTGGTTGGCCGCCGGCACTTCCAAAGCTGGTGATTGGCCATTGGGGGACCCCCCAGAACCAGGAGACACCAGTTGCCCATGCTCAAGCTTGTCTAAAAAATTATCAAGACCCCCAGCGCTGCTTTTTCCAGCTGGCATACTCAGAGATCCACCCCCAGGCTTGAACTCACAACCTCTGGCCCCACAGCTTACCACACCTGAGCCACAGAACATGAGCTGTATCAAAGAAAACCTGTGAAAATACGAACTGCATGTATTCGTGTGCATTCATATTTTTATTTAAGAGTATATGTTTCAATTAATAAAGAGGAGATAAAATAAGCTGTTTACAACTTAATACATCTGACAATTTAGCAGACAACCACAAATATAATGAGCTTTGTGTAGTGGAATTGCCAGAGTTCATCTCTTCAAAAAGCAAAATGGGTTTTAAAGAGAATTATCATAATTTTACTTTGGTTATTATAGTACCATCTTATCAACTAATGTGTTGAAAGTAATTAGCAGGTTTTAATTAGAGCTTATGGGGGGAGGGGGAAGCAGTCTGCCAAACAAGCTGTCCAAATTTAGGAACTGTGGAAAGATCTCAATTAAAACAACAACGAAAGCAAAGGTAAGCATGAGACATAAAGAAATGTATAGGCTCCACTTAGAACAGAGAGAGAAATGTTAATTCATTTCAAACAGCTTCTTTCAGCCTCATAAAAATCCAAAATAGTATAACATTTGGATAATACTGTGCCTGACTGGCAAAATGATGCTTCTGCATTGATAGGTCAATTGCGTAACAATCATTTCCATGAACTGATAGTTCATGATCTCTTTCATTTGTGGAAAACATCTTAAAAAACACAGAGAAGCATACTTTGTTATCCTCAAAGTCAACAGAGCAGTGATATAATAAAATGATACGTCTTACTTAAGAGCAGTGGGAAACAACAGTCCAGCGTTTCCCTCAGGTCAAAGTTTGCAGAATATCATGGAGGTTATTCTGCAGAGAGAACCCTCAACCTCAGATGTTGTAACTCAGCTTAAAATAAAAGAAACAATACAGCAACCCAGTGTGGTAGTTCTCAGTGCTTTGTGATGGCTTTCCACATTTTCAGCAATTTTAGAACTTGAAGGACTTAGCTTTATTTTTATTTTTGATTGAATAGGAAGGACAGTTTTTAATTAAAGAGTTATTAGATTATCAGATATATAGATAATTTTTTTATTTTCCGCACATTTAATTTCAATTTGAATGGAATATAATATTCTACATTATTCTGAGCCTTTAAGGCCTGTCCTTGAAGTAGATGCTTTGATCTCTACAAACAGCATTGGTTTTAAAGTAACAAAACAGCAACTGCAACAAAGGTCTGCTGATCAAAACTTGAGCCCCAGTCAGGAAAGGCTCCCTTTCATGAACCTTATAATGAGGGTTAATCTAACCCAGCAGGCAGATCCTGTCTTGACCTTTTAAAGGGATAACTTTTTCTAATATGGTTTTAAAATGGGCTTTGACAGGGTGGGGATTAAATCTAACCCTGAACAATCAGCTGACACTGCATTTCAGCAGCCAGGATAACAAAGGACTTGGCAGGAAAGCTAGAGGCTGAGTTAAAGTGGAGTTTTCAACCTTAAGTATCCTGACTTAAGTGCTCCGTTTCAAATTGTTACACTTAATCATCACTAGTCTTTTACATGGAAGACTACAGTAAGCTTGATTTACATGCAAATTAAATTTATCAGGCAAGAACATAATTTAGCTGCTATATTCCTTAAAAAGAAAAATATATTCCCCTTGTGGAGCCAAGGGAATATTATCAGTATGTAAAACTTAGGAATGAGGATTAACCAAACCTAGAACCTGAACACAAAGTTTGGGTAAGTTTAGACTTTAGTTGATCAAATTATTCTTTTCACGTCCTTGTCATAAATTAATGTTTTTCCAGAATTGTGCACAACTGATGGATCTTTCCATTGCTGCAGCAAGGCCCTCTTTTGTATACGTCCTATCAAAGAGTCAGCAAACAAACCAGTGCTCCACAATCTGCACTTCACTACACTCATATATATTTTTTGTCATTAGAGTAGCACCATTGGATCACGTCTGTTTTTGATCTTCCAGTTTATGTACACAGGCGGTTCAGACATTGCCATATTGGCCAATCTAGAGCAGCCCTTCTGGGAAGGTCCTCCTGGGGATCCAGGTCCAGTTCAGAACACCTGATTGCACATAATTTTTCCTTCCATAACCTCAGTCATACCCTGTTAGTCATAGTGTCCAACAGTGCAACACTGGTCACAAATAACTCTTTTGCACTTTAAGCTGTTTAGTTACTTCTCTGTGACCATAGACTGGATGCCTGGGGTCTTCCATCTGCCATGATCTTTCATTTTGTCTTGCTACCTTTCTCCTGATATCACGTGGTGCAATGCCAGCCAGTAAGTACAGGCTATCCTTTACTGTTGGCTTTATACATCCTGTTAGTTCATGACAGCTATCATTTAGAGCTAGGTCTAGTTTCTTGGAATGAACTAATCACTCTCATACTGGACATGCATACTGTGCAATAGAGTAACACAAAGCAACAGCAGTGGTTTGTAATGTGGGGTTCACTCCCCACTTTGAGGTGACCAGCTTTCAAAGTATGCTGCTGCAGGCTCTGACTTTCTCATTCATCTTTTTGACATGTACTTTGAAGGTAAGTGTTCAGTCCAGTGTAACCCCCAAGTACACAAGACTTGGGTGATTAGTCAGTGGGATTTCTTCTCAGGTGATGTGTTTAACTTACACCTAGTTTTTTACTTACACCATAGAGAAGCCATGACCTGCATCTTGGCTGGGTTAGCACAAAGCTGATTCTCATTGTAGTAAATCTGAAAGTTTGCTTAATTCACATGCCAGTCTGTTCTCAGCAATGGCAAAGTTCTTCTCTTATGAAGTGATACATAGATCATCAACATACATGAAGCTCCTCCTATTACTCTGTATAGGTTGGTCATTGGTATACAAGTTTAAAAGGATCAGTGCTAGCGTGCTACCCTGTGGGAGACTGTTTCATCGTCATCTCCAATGGCTGTTTCTTGTACCGTTCTACGTAAAAACATCTATTCTCCAAAAGAGATTGGATGAGCTGCACTAGGTGGTAGTTGTGTGTCATATCGTAGACTTTGGCAAGCAGGTTTCAGTGGTTGACTATCATATGCCACTGATAGGTCTACAAACACACCACCTGTTATCAACCCTTTCTCAAATACATCTTCTATATGGTGGGTGATATTTAGTATGTTTAGACAATCAAATTAAACAGGATGCAAGGAGGAGAAATTTAACCCAGCCTCCTCAATTCAGTGTTCCTGTCTGGACCCAACTTTTTCTACTTTTAGGGACCAGGACCCTGTACATGAAATCTCCAAAATCAGAAATGATTTCCTTTGACTATATATATTTGACTATAAATGACTAACCCCATCTGTCTTTTTCTATGGCTACCACTGGCCAAATTTATTCTGGAACAACACCACTGAAGTCTTAGAAGACTGGACCCACATCTTTACCTATAAGAATTCTTGTTGCTGTTCTTTTTTGTTTGTTTAAATTGCCCTTTTTAAAACATGAGTAATATTTTGGGATCAGGTGCGACAAATAAATATTTTTGGAAGAAATAGTTCTTTCAAGAGGCTACAATGAATAAAAAGAAGTAAGTTTTTTTTTTTCAAACACATTTCCCTTATTAAATCAACAATATTAATACAGTTTACTTACCACTGTAGCAGGAACATCTTCTGGCTCAAAAAGAATGATTGGAAGATTGCTAGTAAAGCCAATTTCCCCATTTGCAATGTCAGGAGTTATCCTTAGGGAAATATTTTGAACTTCTCCTAATCTAGGACTTACAGATGGAATTGGAGGAATGATATTCACTAGCTCGACTCTTTCCAGCTACAAAAAAAAAATATTAAAAGACAAGACATCTTAGCATCAAATGTAAGCAACAGTACTATCTGGCAAATTTTGCAGTGTTCAGGCAAACAGGAGGAACAATTCCTCTTAGTAAACAAGACGGTAAACTCCCAAGCTTCTGCTTCTTAAAAAAATAAAAGTTAAATATTCAGATACTGAATTTAACCTGCTATTAAATTCATGTGCCAATTATTTTTGCATGTTGTAGAAATTGTGCAGAAAAAATAGTCATCCAAATCCATTTGTATAAGCAGAAATGTATGAAAATTGAACATTTCTGTTGAAAATTAGTACTTCACTGGATTTTCTCTTATTCTGCTCTCCAGTGCCTCATTAAATACATCCAGTTAATGGAAAAATGACAATGGCTGCTCTTCTCTTTTGAATTTTTCTACTGTCTTCTCTATTGTCTGTGCATTTGGAAAAGGGTAAAAGCAAAGCAATTGTGATAAGCTCTTAACTGGCATTCAATATTTGTAAATATCTGTGTTTGCTACAAGTTTTCCAGACAACCAAAGACTTCTAAATTTTGTCCGAAAAATTATCCAAAATGAAATGGTCCATCTGAAAGATCATCCTGGGGTGTTGGGGTTGACAGTAGCTTTACTAAGAGATTAGATTATGGATATGAATAAGATAATTTGGATAAGGATGATCCTGCCTCAGGCAGTGGACTGGACTAGATGAACTAGGGAGGTCCCTTCCAACCCTACTTCTCTATGATTTCTATCAAATTTTAAAAGTAAAAGCAGTTCCAGACAATGAGACAAATTGAAAGGATATGTTCTTCTAGAGCCTTATCACCTAGACCTGATGGAGGTGTTCAACCTCCAGCCTGCCTGCCACATCTAGCCTACAGAGTTCCTCAAGGGTCCAGAATTTTAGCAGCAGGGGAGCAGTGGCAGCATTAATTGCCACTTTCCTGTTGTCACATTTCCAGGCCAGGATAATGTGGCCCTGTGCACCTGATCATGCTGGGATCAGGCTGGTGCATGGCAGGATCTGGGTTAGCCAGATCTAGGTATGAGAGGTCGGGCCAGCATGCTGGATCACTCCTATAAGCCAACCTCATGCACTGACCCCACATGCAATCTGACCCACAGACCAACTCCATGCCACCCATCTGGCCTGTGGGGCCAGAAGTTTGAGTGCTACTGACCCAGACTTATGAATGATAAAGAAAGACTTGAGCCAAGGTAGAATAAAAACACTGGGCCAGATCTGGGGTTATCATGTAGACAATAGAATACTGAAACACAGGTGCCTTGCAGCAGGCAGATAATCCAATTTAACCATATTTAGGCACTTAAACACTCTATACAAAGAACGGGGAGATGTAAGCCTTTCCAAAGGGTGAACCTAAAACCTCAGAAGTTCCATAGGTAATCAATAATAAAGAGTAACCAGAGGTGTATATGAACTCCCACCCATCTCAGGAGCTTAGATGCCCAATTCAGGAGGAATACTAGGTGCTTCATTCACTTGTGACCATGAATAAATGAAACCATGAATTTCATTAGTAGTATCTACCTTTTCCCTAATAGTTAGGCTATTTATCTAGGAAGTAGAAAAATCTGACTTCTAAGCCTTTATAAGCCTGACAGAATTCTAACAAAAAATCTCCTACTTCCCAGGACTGTCCAAACCACCAAGCTATACAAGTTAAAGCCCTCCATCTCTCCTGTTGAAGCTGGACCACTGAACTTCCAAGGCTAGGGACAGACATTACACATAAACCAGTTTAAGTGATCAAAAACTGATTTAAACCTGTAACGAACAGATGTTCAGTGCACATAAACCAGTCTGAAAATGGCTAAAACTGGTTTGAGATAAACCTGGTCGAATTTAGTATCAGGCTTAACTGATTTCGCTCAAACCAGTTTATGTAGTGTCTGTCCCAGACCTCTTTCTGGTTTAAGATAAACCAGACACCCCCAGCATCATAGATGCTTTGCAACTCTGGGCGGGGCTCTGCTTTAGCCCAGCAGGGCTGGGCCCACACCTCCGCTCCATGGCTGCAGCTCCAGCAGAAACTGCAGGTACAGTGGCATCTGCCTGGCTTCCTCCTGCTCACCCACCCCCATTCCACTCCTTGCTCAAGCAGGAATTCTCTCCTCCCCTATGCCTTACACAGATACCTCAGCATTAGCTAGCATACCACACGCTAACTATGGTGCATGCTGTGAGAGCTAGGACAAAGGCAGACAGAACAGTGTGGACAGGCTTTTTGGAGCTAAATCAACAGGTAGCTGGTAATGTCCCTCCATTCCTTCCTTGGAAAAAGTTGTTTAAGAAGAGCTTGTACTAATGAGAGAAGCTTTTGTTTTATTTGATGGGCAGGTAAATGCTAATAACTCCCTGTGTAACTCCCTTCTGTTTAACTAAATCGGGGTGGGCAAAATACGGTCCACAGGTCAGATCCAGCCCACCAGGCCATTCTATCTGGCCTGCACGGCCCTAAAAAAAGTTGAAAACTAATATTGATCTGCCCCAGCTCTCTGTCAAAGATGACAGCAGCCAGAGGCAGTAGGACCCAGGAGAAGCCCCGGCAGGCTCCTGCAATAGCAGGGCCCGCCTGGCCCTGCCCCACAGCCAGACCATGGGGCTGTCCCCCCCCCACCCCCAGACCATGGGGCTGTTCGCGCCTCCCTGCCCCAAGTGGGAAATTCCCTGCCCCAGAACTAAATGCTCTGTTATCAACAATGGGGGATGAGAGGAACCTATCCCTAATCAGAGCAGCCTGCCCAGGCCTGGCCATGCCCTGTCTCAGCTCAGCAGTTTGGAAGGGAAGGGAGGGCTGCTCTAGTGTCCCCCAGCTTCTAGCCTGACCAACTGCAGGGAGGTGCCTGCAATTTTTCAGTCCAGAGGCGATGTCTTGGCAGTTACAAACTGGTTCAGCCTCGCCAGGTTAAACTAACCTGTAAAGATTGAATCAATTCAGGGTCAGGCTTTCCCTAGCCCTAAAGAACAAGAATGATTGGTCCAGAAGGAGAGCAAGCAAGGAGGAGCATGCCTCTGTAGCCTAGTTGTTTCAGCATACAGAGAGTGAATCCTGAGTTTTGGTCCCTATATCCAGGACACGATTCATTTTACAATGAAGTCATTTGCTTTAAAATGGAAATAACCTCAGCAGAAGGGTCCAGAAAACAAGTGAGTACTGTAACCAGCAAGCTATGACTCAGGTTCCCTCTTTCTTTCTCTCTTTTGGGTCTCATGGCTCATGTGCTCTTGGCTGTCCAGTAGCATAATTTCAATAGAATGGGTGGAGGACAGACCCTCTCCCCCCCTGCAACCCCCCGTCTGCCTAATCTATTTTAAAACCTGGTGGTTAGGGGAATCACCTAGGAAATAAGAGATGTGGCCTACAACCCTTTCAGGTCAAGGACGGCCTAGAATCCATGGGCTTTTTTCTTTTTTTACTTCTAGTGAGTTCTGTAACCATGAGACTATTATGTAAAAGGTAGGAAATACTGCTACCCTTCTACTGGGAAAAAACAAGGCATTGCCATTAATGTTTCTGAGTTGAGTTCAGCTATGTCAAATGGAATGGGGTGTGATCAGAAACACCCCATGTTGGTGCCTAGGGATCTCTGCAGTTCAAAATGGAGGAAATATCATCTGAACTTTAGTTATACTAAAAACCACGAAACTCAGTAGGCTCCTATCTGGATTATTCTGTGGAACTTAAACCCTAAACTCCACCTAAGTCTCATATCAGTGCTCTTGGGACCACTGTGATAAATATGTACCTTAGTAAAATTCATGAGCGCGTTATTGTTCTACCAATACTAGGTATTTCAGTGGTTTAAAGGGGCAAAGAGCTATTAAAATAACTAAAAGCATACCAATTTATACTATCCAAGATTTTTAGTTTGGAAGCATGTTCAAAAATTCTATTTACCAAGAAATCTGCAGCTAAAATATGTTCCTTTTTCCAAAGAGTTGCATCCACTTATGTATTCATTTACAAATACAAACAAGAACTGAAACATTTTTGTTTTAGGATTTTTTTTTTTTTTGGAAGGGAGGTTAATCATAGAAAATTAGGGTTGGAAGAGATCTCAAGAGGTCACCTAGTCCAATCCCCTACCCAAAGCAGACTATGCCAAACTAGACCATCACAGCCAAGCCTTTGTCTAGCGGGGTCTTAAAAACCTCCAAGACTGAAGATTTCACCACCTCTTAGAGTAACCTGTTCTTGTGTTTTAATATCCTTCTAGGGAAAAAGTTTTTCCTAATCTCTAACCCAAGCTTCTCTTCCTGCAACTTGAGATCATTGCCTGTTGTTTTGTTATCTACTAGTACTGAGAACCTTCTTTGGACTAGGGTGACCAAATGTTCGGGTTTTGCCAGTCACATCCTCTTTTTGAGCCCTCTGATCTCCATCCAGGCAGGCTTTTTAAATCTGACCAAATGTCCGGGTTTTTCCTTTGCTTCACTGGTGGGAGCAGGGGGAGGATGATTGGAAGTAGCAGAGAACACGGCCGTACCTGCCTGCAGCTGTGGAGGGGAGCAGACCCATGTGGTGCTCCCTGCTGCCTCCGATTGCCCTCCCCTGCTCCCATCCCCAGAGCAAAGGAAAAACCCAGACATTTGGTCAGGGCAGGAAGGGCAGGGTTGCCTTTTCTCCAGCAGGGGAAAGGGGTGGGGGGGCACTTGAGGGCAGCGGGGAACTCTGTGGCTGAGCCAGCAGCACAGGGGCCGGTGCCTGTGCTCACAGGGGCCGAGCAGCCAGGAGCCACTGGGGGGGTGAAGGGAAGCAGGGGGAGGGGAGGGAAGAAGGGGAAGAAGGAGGGGGCCATGGTGCCTAGCATGGCACGGCAGCCCCATCCCATGGAACGGGGTGCCACAAGCCTCCCTTCCTCTTCCTTCCAGCCCACACTGGGGCCAGACATGCTCTGCTGCCACCTGCATGAATCAGAGCCACTGCGCTCTGGCCCAGTCAGGATGGGGACAGCTGGGGCCCCTCCAGC